AAGTGGTTATATGTAGAGTCCAGAGAACACCTTGCAGAGGTCTCCTCCTACCGGATAAGTTTCAGGGAGTGAACTCAGGTCCTCAACTTAGCAACAAAGCCTTTACCCACTGAAGCAACTCACTGGCCCTGGTTTGGGTTTTTTGTTTATTTTTGAGACTGTGTCTCACTATGTAGCCTTGGTTGGCTTCGTATTCACTATGTAGCCAAAGTGACCATGAACTTCTTCTAAGCTTTATTTATTAAATAATTTTTATGTATATATGAATGTTTTTCCTACATGCTTGTGTATCACATGTATGCTGTGTTTGTAGAGGACAAAAGAGGGTATTGGAGCCCCTAGAATTGGAGTTACAGGTGGTTTTGAGCTGCCTTGTCAGTGTAGGGACCAAACCTGCCTGCCTCCGCCTCCTGAGTGCTGGGACTAAATGGTGCGTGTGCTACCATTGCCCAGCTTAGGACAGGAATTTACAAACTGGAACATCATACACATTTTTTTTTTTACGTCTAGCAAAAAAGAAGGGAGGGAGGAAGAACAGATCTGAGAGAGGGGTAGTTCAGCATCCGCCAACTGTACACAAAGCACATTTAATCATCGGCCCTGCAATTTAAAATTAACCAATTAAAAATTAATAACAAAATGACAACTGCTAAAGACATACAAAGTGAGAAATCAAAGACTTTGTGTGTTAGTCTCAACCTATCATAACTGTGACTTTTTGTTCTTGTTGTGGTGGTAGGTCTATTATTTCTTTGGTTTTTGAGATGCGGTCTCCCGTGTTACCCAGGCTGGCCTTGAACTCTAGGGCTCACACAATTCCCCTGCTTCTGCTGCTTAAGTGGCTGGGAACACAGGCACACACTCTGGACCAGGATGAGTCCAATAGAAAGTGGGGCCTGCTGATGTAAGCGAGGCCTCAGACTTTACATTGCTTACGCTGGAATAACTTGACACCAGTGTCCTCTGATGTAATTCAGTGTGGTGACCTTTGACCTTGTGCTGAAAGAATGGACTCATTCAAGGACCAGCAGTATCAGCATCTCCAGGGAACCTCTGGCCCCACCCCTGACCTGTAGATTGTTATCTTGCCTTAGGAAGATTCCCCAATGATACTTAATGACGGGTTTTCTTTGAGAAGGCACGCCTCTCAAGTATGTCTGAGGAAAGTGTCTAATTGGAATCTACTTCAAGCTTTAAGAAATGGTAGGAGAATAACAACAAAACAATAATAATACAATGCCTAAAATTTAATGTTTTGTTTGTTTTGACAGGATCTCATATAGCCCAAGCTGGCCTTGAACTCACTATGCAGCTGGGGATGGTCTTGAACTTCTGATTTTTCTGCTTCTACCTCCAAAGTGCTAAGATTACAAGCATGCACCATCACACTCAATATAAGGACATAACATTTTTTTAAACGCAAGCTGGCACATGTTTTGTGGCTGACACATGAGGATTATGGGTCCAAAGTCAGTGCAGCTACTGGGTGAGTTTCTGTCTCTATAAAATAATAAATAAATCTGAATTTTGACCCTAGGAAAAAAGCATCGTAAGACTTGGGGAGGTAGCTCAGTTAATATAGTGCTTGCCTGGCATGCACAGAGCCTCAAGTTCAATCACAGCACCTCCTTAAAAAAAAAAAAAGGGGGGGTGCACTCCCATGATCCCAGCACTGGGGAGGTAGAGGCCAGAGGATCAGAAGTTCCAGGTCATTCTTGGCTTTACAAAGCAAGTCTGAGGCCAGTTTGGGTTACATGAGACCTTGTGTGTTTGGGTTTTTGTTATTATTGTTTTTAAAGCGTGAATAAATAATACTATAAAGGAAAATTGGGGCTTACCCATAAGGCAGACACCCTGTAAGATGGTTCTCTTGTCCAAGGTCATGGGGAAAGGGGAGGGACTTTTCTAGATTAAAAAACGCTGAGAAGACGTGACAGCCGAAGGAGATCCTTGTTCCTGATCTGACTCCACACATAAAGGCTGATAAGGTCAGGGTGGAGATAACCGGTGGACTGTGGACTGGAGAGCGGGCGGTGTGCTAAATACTGGCGCACACTTTCAGTTATGAAGATCGTACTGGAGCTGCGGAGCAGAAAGGGACAGACACTGGCAGCAAAGGAACAGTATTTCATGAAACTTCCTTTCAAACATACGTTTACACACATCATAAACACATGGCGAATATGCTAGCTCCTTAATCCACGGATGGTTGTCACACTTGTTTCTGCTTTTCTGTGTGGTTGATGTTTATCATAACAAGAAATTAGAAATTCATGTATTTATTTGGAGGCCGAGCATTGCACTCAAGGCTTTTTGTATTCAAGCCCACGGTTAGTCACTGAGTTACATCTCCAACACTTTGAAACAGTTTGTTCTAGAGTTATTTATTTTGTGTGTATGAGGCAGAAGGTTTGGTCTGTGTGTATGTATGTGCATCATGCATGTGGCTGGCACCCCCAGAAGTCAGAAAAGAGCATCAGTTCCTCTGCAAATGACATCACAGAGGTTTGTGAGCTGTTCTCTGTGCGCTGGGAATCCCGTCAGAGTCCTCTGCAAGAGCGGCCAGTGTTTTTAACCACTGGGCCATTTCTCCGGGCATAAAACGATTTTTTAAAAACACGTATTTGCCCGGTGGTGGTGGCACACGCCTTTAATCCCAGCACTTGGGAGGCGGAGGTAGGTGGATCTCTGTGAGTTCAAAGACAGCTTGGTCTGTAAGAGCTAGTTCCAGGACAGCTAGGGCTGTTACACAGAGAAACCCTGTCTTGAAAAACCAAAACCCAAAACAAAACAACCTCCCCCCAAAAAAAACCAAACAAGCAAAAAAAAAAAAAAACCCAAAAAAATCAACACACATATTCTCCATTGGATCTGGTTGCACATGGCTACATCTCTGGTACTTGAGAGGATGTAGGGATTAGAAATTGCAGGCCAGCTGAGCTATGGAGCATGGCCCTGTGATTATTTTGGAGTTTTTTTGTTTGTTTGGTTGGTTTTATTTTTCAAGACAGGGTTTCTCTGTGTACTCTGGCTGTTCTGGAACTCTCTCTGTAGACCAGGCTGGCCTTGAACTCACAGAGACCTGCTTGTGTCTGTGGTGGTGTATGTGTACCACCACTACCCGGCCCAGGAAGGCCTTGACTTGGTGATCCTCCTGCCTCCACCTCCTTTAGCAAACCCTACTGGCATGGGCCACCACAACAGGTGCTTTTAGGAATTCTCCACTTTTTTGGTGTAATATGAGAACTGAGCCCGGGCCCATACAGTGTGAGTTGTATCACTGAACCCACACCCGCAGTGAGAGTGGATGTAGACGGCAGGCAATGAGCACAGCTGGATAGTCTGGAGACCCCGTCCTGAGCTATTTGCTGACAGCTGGAGACCCCGTCCTGAGCTATTTGCTAACAGGAACGTTGCTGTCAGGAGGATACACTGTGGGGAGGCTGGAAATGCAGATGGTGACAAATGTGGGCAGTAAAGATGGCTCAGTGGGCAAAGACATCGCACACGCTTGAACCTGATGTCTGGTCCTGGAACCCTCAGTGGAAAGAGAGAGCCCAGCCCCGAAAGTTGTTCTCTGACTTCCACATACAAAATAATAATTATGATGAGAATAGTAATAACTAATTAATTGCTTTGAAAGCTGTGTGTGGGACTGGAGAGATGGCTCAGCTGCCAAAAGCACCGCTGCTCTTGCTGAGGATCCAGGTTCCCATCCCAGCACCGATACGGTAGCTAGCAAGCATCCCTAACTCCAGTTCCAGAGAATCCCACACCCTCTTTAGGCCTCCACAGGCTCCTCACAAGTACATAGACAAAACACCCATACACATAAAAAGAAAGAAAGAAACCTAAAAGGTGTATGTATGGGTAAAAAGTACACTCACACAGGCTGATAGAAGACACATACAGTAGATGTGCACCGCACACACACTGGAAAAGGGTCTGAGATACTTCAGAACAGACTGTGAGCCCTGACTCATGGGGAAATGTCCATCCTGGAGGTTTTCCTTTCCGTTTTGCTTATAACTAAGCGAACATACATCCTTTCCATTCACAAGAAAGGACACTACATTATTTCAAAACAAAACAGCAGCACCTGCTATGTGTTTACTTTCTTCACTGACTGTGCATGGGCTCTCATGCGCAGGTGTGCATATACACACACACATCACACACACACACACACACACACAGAGAGAGAGAGAGAGAGAGAGAGAGAGAGAGAGAGACTCGATTCAGTCTCCAGAGCTCTTGGGAAAGTCAAGGGGCTGGCTTCCCTCATCCCACCCTCTTCCTCTTGCCCTCCTAAAGGACCGAGATTCGAGGTGACAGCAGTTCTACAGGCAGCAGAACGAGGTCACCGTTTCCAGTTCATCCTTGAAGCTGGCCAAGTGAAAGGGCAGCGAGGCAGATCCCCAGGTCCAGGGCAGGGAGGTGGAGGCCCTTGGCTCCTGGGAGAAGACAGCGGAGCAGGGTTCAAAGGCATGGTTTATGGTAACTCATAAAACCTCCAGGTGGAGTCTGTGGCTCGCAGAGGGGGAGGACTGGAAGGGTCCTTGTGCCCACTGAACGAGGGTCATGCTGAGTAGATGAGGCCTGTAGGGGTGCCAGGGGCCCAACCTGTCCCCAAGGGGACCCTGGCCTGTGTGCCTAAGTTCCAGCTGCAAGGCCCCTGGAGTCTGTGTGTCGTAGTGCTCCCCACCCTCCTACCCCCGCCATCTCTCTAGGGCAGGAGAGTGGACAGCTGAGTTTCCTTCCTGGTAGGAAGAAAGAATGGTCCAGACACCTGTAGCCTGCCCTGGTAGGGGTTGTCCATCTGCAGGGAGTGCCCAGGTCCTGAGCGGAAGTGTGCCCCATCCCCGCAGCTCTGGAGCCAAGGGTGGGGCACACATCAGCTCTGACTGTCAGGCTGTTGTTGGCATCTAGGTTCCCAGGGACCTGGGCACTTACTACCCCACCCCCTCATCTATTCTCTCTCTCTCTCTGGGGCCCTATCTTCCCTTATATGGTGAAGGAAGTTCCTAGGAGGGGGGGGGTGAGGACAAAGGTTGTTCTCCTGCAGCCAGCTTGCCACAACTTCCTAAGATCTCCCAGGTGGTGGCTGCCTCTTCCAGACAGGTAAGGCAATTGGGTAGGGACGCATGGGGACCACAGGTGATTGAGAGAGACAGGGTCCTTGCTTCTCTCTGGCTGCCTGAACTGTCTGTAGCACGTTGGTGCAGGTTTGGGGAATGAGGTAAGGTATTCTGAGGTTCTGGAAGAAGTAAGAAGGCAGCATGCTGTCCTGGGCCTTCAGTGAAGGAAGCTCACAGGCCCCTACCTGGTACCTCACCCTTTCTGCAGCACTTCGGGTGCCATTCATGCAGGTTGCCCGGGGCTAAGGTGGATCCTTAGGGCTAGGATTTCTAGAACTGAAATCAGAACAGTCCTGAGAAAGCTGGGATTATCGGTCTCATTGCCTGGAGTCATTCTCTCTTCCTGCTCATTTCTTGGTCCACTTCTTCTTTATCTGAAATGGTTTTTTTCTTTGTGTCACCATTTTCTGACACTCCTGGGACCTCAGGTGTAAACTACGGCCACCAGGAATCCAGTGATTGAGCCCAGAGGAAGGGAAGAGGCAGGAGTAGGAGGCTACAGGGCCGTGTAGGCCTTTTCGGGCCTGGACATCACTCCTGCCCTAGAAGTGGCCCCTCTGTTTCCTCAGTCACCTTGGTCTGTTTTACCTGAGCTGGGCAGGAAAGCCTAGCTTGCCTAGAATTTTGGGATTTACTCTGACCAAGGCCATCTGTCCAGGAATCTTCCTGTCACTTGGAGGCTGGGAGTATCTGCTTCTGGGGGGCTCCCAGGCCCTGGGTAGGAGGAGTGTATCCTTTGTATAAGGAGGAGTGACCTAGCCCACTGTGACTACACTCCTGTCCAGTTAAGAGCTGTGTACTGGGAACTAAGACTCATAGCAGCACACTAGGGTTCCCTAAAGTTGCACCCCAAGAATAATAGGACAGCAGATAAGGAAGGATGGGTGGCTGGAGACACGACTGTAAATCTGTCTAAAGCCCAGTGAGGAACTTCTTCCTAGGTCAGTTTCAGCTGTGTGAGGGCCAGTTGTGTACCTACTATAGACAATGAACTGGCAGCTACAAACATCTGTGATTATTCCTGTGTGTAATCTGAGCACTTGGGAGGCTGAAGCAGGAGGATTGCTATATGGTTGAGGCTAGCCTGGGCTATAGAGTAAGATTTTTGTCTCAAAAAACAAAATAAGAAACTGCTACCATCAAAAAAAATCTCACCTGCATAGGTCGTGGAGCCTGGGGACTTCAGACTTACAAAAAGGTTTTTTTGTCACTGTGTGGTCAGGACTGAGAAAGCCATCAGTCTGAGACACAGAGGGACCCTGAGAAAGGACTCCCTGCCAGCCTCAGAATTCTGGGAAGGCTTCCTGTAGGAAGTGTGTCCTAATTGAGTCCAGAAGAGGTGGAAAAGCAGAGATAGGTGTAGCCCGGGCACCAAGGTGGCAGCCAGGCTAGGATTCTAGAAGTCAGGGTGGCAGAAGAGAGTGTGGGTAGACAGACTGTTAGGGGGCAGACTGTTGGGACAGAATGGAAGGAAGGGAAGGTGTCTGAGATTCTACACAGACTTTTGGTTCTCTGGGTGGCAAGTGTCCTCCTAGGGCTAGGGCCATAGAAGCGTGCGGACCGGGGTAAGTCAGTGAGTTCAAGTTGAGGAAATATCCATCCCAAGTTCCTTGCTGATGGGTTGGGGGATGAGGGCCATTCAGTCCTCCCTGAAGTTTAGGGGGAGCTGAAGGGCTCATCTGGGATCAGGGAGAGGTGTTTGCTCTGACCAAGATGGTAGGTACAGAAGCAGCTGGAGGTGCTGACGGGGTTGGACTGGCCACGTCTCAGAACCAGTCATCACCACTTGGCCCTAAGGAGGCTGTTCCTTCTCTGTTTAGGCCGTTTTGGCACAGAGGTGGGTAGGAGGGTCCCAATCTCACTTCTCTTCAGGGAGAGGCAGTGAGTCTTTATTCCCTCCCCGGTGACAACAGACACCCCCGTGTCTATCATTAGTTCATTCTGCTGCCAATTTACTTCAGGACCTCTGCTCCTAGCTCACCCATGACCCACTCCCTCACCCAGAGAGTACAGAAGAGAGTCTTAGAGAAAGGGTAATTGAAACAGAGATGGCGGGAATAAAACAGAAAATACTGTCCTCTGTACTCCAATTTGTCTTGCTGAACCAAAAGGATTGTACGTGTGTGTGTGTGTATGTGTGTGTGTATGTGTGTGTGTGTGTGTGTGTGTAAAACCCTTCATGCTAAGGAATATGTGATGTTTGCAGTCATGCCAACAGGGGTATCAGGTGGAGTCAGGCCCATGGAGCTTTTGCAAACACAGCAAGCTTCCCAAGATGGACAGGTGGCCCAGATCACCAAGGGGCAGGTTGACCAGAGTGGGCAGAACCCAAGATAAGTCAGCCTGCAGGGCTGAGAAGAGGGAGTCTACAAGAGGTAAAGGCCAAGCCATTTATTATCCAAGATGTGACTCAAAACCAAAGTGCACGGAGAGATTAGCTGGAGAGATGGGGCTGTCATGTAGGGCACTTGACCTTTCTCTTCTTAGTCACTAGGCCAAAGGACAGTCACGGAGGGTCACTGACTCCTCCTGCTCCCTTTGGGGCAGGCCTGTGAAGCATGGGTAGCCGTCATACTGGTGGAGAGGGTTGAAAAATGGCAGGAGAAAAACCAGGCATGAGTGGTTCTCACTGTGGCTCACGACAGGAATCCTGGCTAGTGTTCAAAGGACTCAGGCCTCATCTCTGGCAGAAATAAAGTATCTAAGCCCTAAGCCTCATTCTGGCCTAATTAAATCAGAATCCCTAGGGATGCAGGCTCTGAGCTCAGGAGCATCAGTATTTTTAAAAAGCTCCCAGGCGACTCTGATCAGCAGCTGGAACAAACACAGCTACAGGGTCCAAACAGAAACAGGCAATGCTAGGTACAGCTTGGCAAGGGGGGGTTCTTCAAGCCTGGTGGATGGAGGGTGCTTAACCGTAGTGGCAGTTTCTCTATGCTTGTCACCCACCCACTCATCCACCCATCCACCCACTCACCCATCCACCCACCCACTCACCCATCCACCCACCCAC